CGTTGTTGCTGCTGCTCTTGCCCCCGTTGTTTCTGTTGCTGCTGCTCCTGTTGTTGCTGCTGCTCATCCTGCCCCTGTTGTTGCTGCTGCTCATCCTGCCCCTGTTGTTCCTGCTGCTGCTGCCCCTGTTGTTGCTGCTGCTGCTCATCCTGTCCCTGTTGTTGCTGCTCCTGCTCTTGTTGCTGCTCCTGCTGTTGCTGCTGCTCATGCCTCTGTTGCTGCTGCTGCTCTTGCCCCCGTTGTTTCTGTTGCTGCTGCTCCTGTTGTTGTTGCTGCTGCTCATCCTGCCCCTGTTGTTGCTGCTGCTCATCCTGCCCCTGTTGTTCCTGCTGCTGCTGCCCCTGTTGTTGCTGCTGCTGCTCATCCTGTCCCTGTTGTTGCTGCTCCTGCTCTTGTTGCTGCTCCTGCTGTTGCTGCTGCTCATGCCTCTGTTGCTGCTGCTGTCCCTGTTGTTGCTGCTGCTCATCCTGCCCCTGTTGTTGCTGCTGCTGCTGCTCATCCTGCCCCTGTTGTTGCTGCTACTGCTGCTCATCCTGCCCCTGTTGTTGCTGCTACTGCTGCTCATCCTGCCCCTGTTGTTGCTGCTCTTGTTGTTGTTGCTGCTGCTCTTATTCCTGCCCGTTGTTGCTGCTGCTCATCCTGCCCCTGCTGTTGCTGCTCCTGTTGTTGTTGCTGCTGCTCTTGTTCCTGCTCCTGTTGTTGCTGCTGCTCTTGCGTCTATTGTTGCTGCTCCTGCCTCTGTTGTTGCTGCTCCTGTTGTTGTTACTGCTCCTGTTGTTGCTGCTGCCCCTCTTGCTGCTCCTGTTGCTGCTGCTCCTGCGCCTATTGTTACTGCTCCTGCCTCTGTTGCTGCTGCTCCTGTTGTTGTTGTTACTGCTCCTGTTGTTGCTGCTGCCCCTCCTGTTGTTCATGTCATTGTCACTGCCCCACGCAGTTGCTGCTACTGTTCGTGTTTTTGTTCTGGTGCTGCTACTTTGCGAAGTTCTGCCGTTATCGCTCCTATTGCTTTAACTGCCGATCCTGCTGGACCCCTGCCGATCCTGCTGGACCCCTGCCGATCCTGCTGGACCCCTGCCGATCCTGCTGGACCCCTGCCGATCCTGCTGGACCTCTGCCGATCCTGCTGGACCCCTGCCGATCCTGCTGGGACCCCTGCCGATCCTTCTGGGACCCCTGCCGATCCTGCTGGGACCCCTGCCGATCCTGCTGGGACCCCTGCCGATCCTGCTGGGACCCCTGCCGATCCTGCTGGGACCCCTGCCGATCCTGCTGGGACCCCTGCCGATCCTGCTGGGACCGCTGCCGATCCTGCTGGGACCGCTGCCGATCCTGCTGGACCCCTGCCGATCCTTGTGGGTACTTGGTACCGGTCGAACCGCTCGGTACAAATATTGGAGCTACAGTAAGGACTCAGCGGTGGGGGGGGAGCGTCCACCACCTCCAACACCGAGGTGGTAGTAAGAACGGTTGTTAGTGAGGAAGGTGTTGTAATTAAAGCGAGGATATTGGGTTAGCGAACAAAGAGTCAACTCCCCCTCTTCCTCGTCATCCCTCCCTCCCTCTCCCTCCCATTCTCACCCCCTCCCTCACTGATCCCTCACCGACCACAGAGACAAGGGGAGGGAGGCCCTGTAACGGTTGGATGTCTAAACTTTATATATTCAGGAAGCACGGCTGACAACACACATGGAAGTGTTCACGCTGCACAATGTTGCTTCACGGGGCACAATGTTGCTTCACGGTGCATATTGTTGCTTCACGGTGCATATTGTTGCTTCACGGTGCATATTGTTGCTTCACGGTGCATATTGTTGCTTCACGGTGCATATTGTTGCTTCATGCTGCATATTGTTGCTTCACAGTGCATAGTGTTGCTTCACGCTGCATAGTGTTGCTTCACGCTGCATAGTGTTGCTTCACAGTAATACTCTCGCCAAGTCCAGCTTCGCTCAGCAAATATTTCTGATGTAAATACAAGTTTGTGAGTAGCAGTGAGAAGCATTTCACACACCAGGTGTGTAATGTGCATATGGAGATGTTGGGGAGAGGGAGGGAGAGACAGAGACAGACACACAGAGAAAGAGAGACAGGGGATGTACCCGGAGGAGGGTGAGAAGAGTGAGAGAGAGGAGAGCGTGGTTCAGAAGTGTAGTAGGTGGCGCTTGGGTGGTCAGGGAAGGCAAGCCACCCCCCCTCCCTCACTGCTACACCCTGCCTACCCAACACTTCCACCCGCTTTGATGCTTACCTCCTCCTCCTCCTCCTAGCCTTCGCCTCTCCTACGTTGCGTCCCCAATTGGGCGCCGTCCCTGCAGCTCCATCGCAGGGAAGGAGGGGGGTAAGACATCAGTGGGGGGAAGGAGGAGGAGGAGGTGTCATAATTACGAAGAGCACGCGTGCGCACCCCCAATTGGTGAAACTGTGTGACAACAAAGACGCAACAGCCTATAACTGGACAATGTTCCTGGCGCTGGTGAGGCGTCACGATACTACATTTCGTTCTCCCTTTTCCCTCTCGCTGGGCGCGTCTATCTTGTCCCCTCAAACTTCCCAGCAGAGTTCACGGGAGTGCAGCTTGAATCCCGCCTTGACCAGCAGGAGAGAGAGAGAGACACACACACACGAGAGGAAGGAGAGGAAATAATGGTGGTGTTGGCAGCTGCATCAGGCGCGGTTGTATCGGGAGTCCCTCGCCTGACCTTGAGATGGAGCTGTCCACTGCCCCTCACATTAACCCTTGATGTGCTGATCGTATTTTCTCTTCGACACAATTTACTAATGGCCATTATATCCCCAAGAGCTGTTAGATGAACATAGCTGGTCTCTTGATGCTAAATAGACGGGTTAAAGCGAGTATGAAGCAGCATTGGAGTGTGTCTACCAAATACAGTAACAACTGGACCACCTCCCGTCCCACCCCGTCAACGCGCTCTCCCAACTTCACGATGCCATACCCGTCTCAACATATTTTTGCATATGCTTATTATCTAGTTGCCACGTATCTATTGGCGTTTAGAAACACGTATTTTAATATTAACATGTGATGTTATAAGTATATATATATAAAACACTGTTATCTTGCTGGTACTAATACGGAAATAAGGAAAAATGTTGGTAAATGAGAGGTCGGCATCGCTCACATAACACAGCTGTGGCTGGGGAGTGCGGACCGGGAGACGATCCCGAGGTGCCAGCCAGTACAATCTCCGCCACTTTTGATCTGCTTTACACTCTAAAACAGGCTGTTCTGCTTTAAAATAACACCCTCACACATTTACAATTCATGCAAACAACACACTCCAATAGGATATCATTCTAGAAGAGCATTATATCTGGTGTAAGAGGTGTAATGAAGAAGTGAGGTGTAGGGAAGGCGGCGGTGTGGCCGGCCTCGGCCACCTAACCCTAACACCCCAACCTTACACTCCTCTCCAGCCAAAATTCTGGCAAAAGGTAGCGTGGTGGGGGCGCTGGGGGAGCGAAGCCTTCGCCACAGCATCACCTAATTTAGACAGGCTTGTGGCTTGCTTCAACACGTCTCCAGAGGTCCTCCCACAGCATGTTTTAATGACAAACTCCCGACACTTCATGAACATTTTTGACATATTTGTAGAACTACTGATGATGCTAAGGGTGGGAGCAACCCCGCCACCGCCAGTCCTTTCCCATATCGACCAACACACATGTATACAGCGTCTTGATGCAGTAGGTGTAGCCAGGTGTCAGGAAGACAGCAGGTAGAAGGCTGAGGGTGACAGCTTGGGGTGCTGGAGACTGAGAGACTTGTACGACCCGGAGAGTGCGGGTGTTCGGCGGTGGTGGTGGCGGCCGCCGTGTGGACTATGGGGTGCTGATGGCAATGCCTCTCCCACTATTGATCTGATGCTGGCCCCCGTCATCATGGTGGAAAAGGGGGTGGGGTGTGCATGTCAGTTGGCAACACGGAGTATGAGGGGTGCATGGCGACTTGATTGTCAGGAAATCGAAGCGTGGCCGGTGTTGGTGTATAGAGGAGTGGATTACCGTGGGTGGCGCACGCCCTCTGCACAATGGGCGACGTCAGGTCACCCCATATTATATATCACTGAAAATAAGTCTTCCCTTGCTGTTAATTTCAACGTGGGAACTGAATGCAGGCTTACTGGGACGGGTATCAGTAGTTGTGTACTAATACAGCGGTATTAGGTATCTGGCTAACAAGACAAGCACTGCCAACTCTTCATACCGACGTCACTGTTATAACTCAACGTGTAATGTTTATCCAGAATAATGAAGACTTGACATGCGTTACTTGTAGACAAGCGTTCATATGAGCTGCATCAACCCCCGTTACTGCCACATGTTCCCGGGAAAGCTGGAAGCGTCTTAAACATATCTCACAATATCAGTTAATATTTTGTTAAATATTACAAGCATCATTCAGTGTCTAGGGGTATCTAAACACTTCATCTCAGAGGTGATTAGCAAGAGGAACTTGCACAAGCCTAGCGCCTCACAGAAAACGGAGCCCATGTGTGTGTTGGTGTGGTGTCATGTCCACCACCATCTGTTGCAGGTGGTGAGGGAGGAGGAGGACAGTGGGCGACCCACCTCCCGTCTTCACCAACCCAAGGCCGCGGCGTAGTGTTAACCTCTCCTCCTGGACTCGGTTTTAACATAAGCCAAACAAGAGTCGTCTTCCTTGGCCGCTTTTCTTCAGGGAATGTATGGCTGCCTAACCGGAGGAGTCTGGCTGGCTTCTCTCTCTCCCCCCCCCCCTCTGCACACATACGTTGGTACTTGGCCCCACCTCCGCTGGTGTCTCGTTACCACACAAGCTCTCGTTATCACCTCTCTGCCCTTCTGGCAACCTACGGCGCCTTAGTTTCTGCTAAGACCCGCACAACCTCCCGCAAGGAAGGAAATCTCATTATCACTGTGTGGATACTTGGGGTTAGTCTCCGGCTGAAGACTGAGTCTTGTGTACCCGAGGTGCAAGCCTGTTCCATCCATCTTCATCCATGTCATCACTAACGGTGTTCCATCACACCCTACTCCATCCCTATCATTGTTTCCTCACATTATTACATCGCTGCCGCTCTTCCATCACTTCCAGGGCCACCCACTGGGAGCCATCACATCCAGGGCCACCCACTGGGAGCCATCACTTCCAGGGCCACCCACTGGGAGCCATCACATCCAGGGCCACCCACTGGGAGCCATCACTTCCAGGGCCACCCACTGGGAGCCATCACTTCCAGGGCCACCCACTGGGAGCCATCACATCCAGGGCCACCCACTGGGAGCCATCACTTCCAGGGCCACCCACTGGGAGCCATCACATCCAGGGCCACCCACTGGGAGCCATCACTTCCAGGGCCACCCACTGGGAGCCATCACTTCCAGGGCCACCCACTGGGAGCCATCACATCCAGGGCCACCCACTGGGAGCCATCACATCCAGGGCCACCCACTGGGAGCCATCACTTCCAGGGCCACCCACTGGGAGCCATCACTTCCAGGGCCACCCACTGGGAGCCATCACATCCAGGGCCACCCACTGGGAGCCATCACTTCCAGGGCCACCCACTGGGAGCCATCACATCCAGGGCCACCCACTGGGAGCCATCACTTCCAGGGCCACCCACTGGGAGCCATCACTTCCAGGGCCACCCACTGGGAGCCATCACATCCAGGGCCACCCACTGGGAGCCATCACATCCAGGGCCACCCACTGGGAGCCATCACTTCCAGGGCCACCCACTGGGAGCCATCACATCCAGGGCCACCCACTGGGAGCCATCACATCCAGGGCCACCCACTGGGAGCCATCACTTCCAGGGCCACCCACTGGGAGCCATCACATCCAGGGCCACCCACTGGGAGCCATCACATCCAGGGCCACCCACTGGGAGCCATCACATCCAGGGCCACCCACTGGGAGCCATCACTTCCAGGGCCACCCACTGGGAGCCATCACATCCAGGGCCACCCACTGGGAGCCATCACATCCAGGGCCACCCACTGGGAGCCATCACATCCAGGGCCACCCACTGGGAGCCATCACATCCAGGGCCACCCACTGGGAGCCATCACATCCAGGGCCACCCACTGGGAGCCATCACTTCCAGGGCCACCCACTGGGAGCCATCACATCCAGGGCCACCCACTGGGAGCCATCACATCCAGGGCCACCCACTGGGAGCCATCACATCCAGGGCCACCCACTGGGAGCCATCACATCCAGGGCCACCCACTGGGAGCCATCACATCCAGGGCCACCCACTGGGAGCCATCACATCCAGGGCCACCCACTGGGAGCCATCACATCCAGGGCCACCCACTGGGAGCCATCACATCCAGGTCCACCCACTGGGAGCCATCACATCCAGGGCCACCCACTGGGAGCCATCACATCCAGGGCCACCCACTGGGAGCCATCACATCCAGGGCCACCCACTGGGAGCCATCACATCTACTTCTTAATCACTAAAGATTCTCCATCGCCCACTACTCCTTCACTCCTGAATTCTCGTCAAGCAGCTACTCCATCACTACTAATTATCCACAGTACCAGACCAGCCTGCTGTACCAGACCAGCCTGCTGTACCAGGCCAGCCTGTTGTACCAGACCAGCCTGTTGTACCAGACCAGCCTGTTGTACCAGACCAGCCTGCTGTACCAGACCAGCCTGTTGTACCAGACCAGCCTGTTGTACCAGACCAGCCTGTTGTACAGACCAGCCTGTTGTACCAGACCAGCCTGCTGTACCAGACCAGCCTGTTGTACCAGACCAGCCTGTTGTACCAGACCAGCCTGCTGTACCAGACCAGCCTGTTGTACAGACCAGCCTGTTGTACCAGACCAGCCTGTTGTACCAGACCAGCCTGTTGTACCAGACCAGCCTGTTGTACCAGACCAGCCTGTTGTACCAGACCAGCCTGTTGTACCAGACCAGCCTGTTGTACCAGACCAGCCTGTTGTACCAGACCAGCCTGTTGTACCAGACCAGCCTGTTGTACCAGACCAGCCTGTTGTACCAGACCAGCCTGTTGTACCAGACCAGCCTGTTGTACCAGACCAGCCTGTTGTACAGACCAGCCTGTTGTACCAGACCAGCCTGTTGTACCAGACCAGCCTGTTGTACCAGACCAGCCTGTTGTACCAGACCAGCCTGTTGTACCAGACCAGCCTGTTGTACCAGACCAGCCTGTTGTACAGACCAGCCTGTTGTACCAGACCAGCCTGTTGTACCAGACCAGCCTGTTGTACCAGACCAGCCTGTTGTACCAGACCAGCCTGTTGTACCAGACCAGCCTGCTGTACCAGGCCAGCCTGTTGTACCAGACCAGCCTGTTGTACCCGACCAGCCTGTTGTACCAGACCAGCCTGTTGTACCAGACCAGCCTGCTGTGTGAGCCAGCCTGCTGTGTGAGCCAGCCTGCTGTGTGAGCCAGCCTGCTGTACCAGACCAGCCTGCTGTACCAGACCAGCCTGCTGTACCAGACCAGCCTGCTGTACCAGACCAGCCTGCTGTACCAGACCAGCCTGCTGTACCAGACCAGCCTGCTGTACCAGACCAGCCTGCTGTATGAGCCAGCCTGCTGTGTGAGCCAGCCTGCTGTACCAGACCAGCCTGCTGTGCCAGGCCAGCCTGTTGTACCAGGCCGGCCTGCTGTGCCAGGCCAGTTACTTTTGCCAGGGACAGGCAGCCTGTGCATTTATATGTTAGGTTTGTATCGACGTCTAACCCTCCCTAGGATGCAACCCCACAACAGTTGCCTTACTCCCGGGTACCTATTTACTGCTAGGTGAACAGAGGCATTAGGTGATAGGAAACGTGCACAATCGTTTCTATCCTGCCCAGGGATTCGAACTCCTAATAGTTGGACTTGTGATCCTGTGGTCCCAGGTTCGATCCCGGGCGCCAGCGAAAAACAATGGACAGAGTTTCTTTCACCCTATGCCCCCTGTTACCTAGCAGTAAAATAGGTACCTGGGTGTTAGTCAGCTGTCACGGGCTGCTTCCTGGGGGTGGAGGCCTGGTCGATGACCGGGCCGCGGGGACACTAAAGCCCCGAAATCATCTCAAGATGTGTCTCTGGACTGTGTGGATCTCCTGGGTGTGGATCTCCTGGGTGTGGATCTCCTGGGTGTGGATCACGTGGGTGGATGGGCGGGAGAGGAAGGTGTGGACACAGGCGGACAAGACACTAACAGGACCAGAGGAGCGGCGGAAGACATGCTCACACTGGCATACACTTTGCCATCCGGGGTTTAAGCAAGTCGAGGGGCAGCTGGAGGTGGTGCCATGATGGCACTGTCGCCAGTTGTTGCCACGAGTCGTGCCAGTTGGCAGTACATAACGTCAGGCACTGTTACCATGCCCTGCCATCACGGGCTGTCAAAGAGCTGCCGTAATTAGAGTATGCTTCAGGGAGCGAGGCGAATGCCAGTCAGCAAGAGGTCAATAGGACTTTAATGTCAACACAAGAGAACTTTCTTGACCATAAAGTAGGAGTTAATGAGGTCCTTGCAACTTCACCAGGGTGCTAAAGTGCCGCCACTCCCCCCTGATTACCGACTAAGGTGACTTGGACTCAACACACCAGTGGTGTTGGCTATATTGCAAGACGGTATTACCAAGAAACACCAGCCAGCCAAATCAATGTTAGAAATGTTAACACATACAGACTGAGCTCATGAATGATCAATATCAACCTTAGAGAATTAGAAAAAAAACGGAACAAAATCAGGTCATGGTTCAATACCTAAGAAAATAGAACAAAAGAACATAGAGCATTGCTGCAAAGTACACAGAGAAGGGCTATTGGCACATAAGAGGCAGCTCCTATTTATACCCATTCAAACATGCTTATATATATATATATCAGGGGTTAGGTAGCTGAGAGGACAGCGCGCGGGACTCGTAATCCTGTGGCCCGGGTTCGATACCCGGCGGAGGCGGAAACAAATGGGCAGTGTTTCTTTCACCCTGATGTCCCTGTTACCTAGCAGTAAATAGGTAACTGGGAGTTACAGCTGATACGGGCTGCTTCCTGTGTGTGTG